GAAATACGTGAACCAGGGAGAGAGCAGATGGATCTTACGGGGCAAGAGAGAGACTGTGATAAGACCTAGGAAAGGACGGCGTAACAATATGGCAGACTCTGATCAACATTCCCAGCACAAGGGTGAAGGTAGGTGAAAACGCCGGCGTAGAGTGTGGAGTTTTCTCATGACAGCCGATCAAAAGGGCACGCTACACTACATCAAAATAAACACAGTTAAAAATTGTAACAGTGACGGCGTGATAGGAGGATGTAGGAAATGTGAATAGCCCAGGGCAGAAGGGGAGATACCACAACTGTTAACACACATTTGGTCAAAGGATAGGCTTACTTGTCTCTTTGACGAGTTATTGTGTGGTGCTAAGATTGGCGAGACTCACTGACAATGTTGACTTAGATGCCGGCGAAACGTCTGGGAATGTACCACGTCCATGGTCCGACTTTGGACATAATCATGCATACAATGAACTCCGGACTATGTGCGTTCCTCCAAGTCTTCTTACCAATATGACCAAGTTGCAAAAACAAGGTCAAACAACCTCTTTAGTGAGTAGAGTTGCGAAAATTGCTAAAAATAGGTGGCAACAGACAAATAAAATTTTCTCTGCAAAATCCTTATTTGATGTGAATGTTATCGAGGCTCAATGTGTGACACTTGGAAAAATTGCAGGGCATTGAAGGTTTTCGGGAATCAAGACAAAATCAATTCTACTTCAAATACACAGATGAATTTAAAGCAAAAACCCTATTTGAGTGATGATTTCCAAAGTAAAACAAAATTTATTGTCACTTCATTGCAGGCGCTTTAACTAGTAAGGCCGAGCAATCAAACAAGACACGCTTTCTACATTTTTAGCAAACAGCTATATTTATCCCACTTCAAAAATAAATGCAGTTTATGGAAAACTGGGCAAATAAGTTAAATAGTGTACAAAGAAGACAAAACTAAAGCTATTTTTCCGCTTAAATCAAGGTACCATCTGTAAATGGCGCCATAGCCGTTAGTGCCATTGCCCCATAGTTCCAGGACAATACCTTAATTTCCCGCTCCAGGTCCAGGACTCTCGCATAATTAACATGAATTTACTTTAGTAGTAATAACTATCTTATACATTTATGGATTAGAGAAATAAAAAGGTAAAATGTATGGGTTAATAATTATGTATAAGTATATAGTTAGCAATATATGGATAGCCTTGGACATCCTAGGCTAGAAGTGCTATCGGCTATACAAAACCCCTATAGCATGCATTATGGGAACATTTTCTTGGTATTTTCATTTACTCAGCACAAAGCTACTGAATTAGATACATATGGGACAAAAATAGCACAAAATTGTGATGAAATCTGCTGTTTAGGCCAAGAAGTTGGATGTGGAAACTTATGCAAAGTAGTTAACTTTGTTAAAAAAAGTAGATTATCTCAATGAAAACTTTTAGTCAACTTCGGCCGTGAAAATAGGATCGATTTTGGTAGACACATCTCTTGAAAATTGGTTTAGGAAGTCCGAATTAATACCAAAACTCTGGATCATGCTGAAGCATATTTTAGCTGGAATCACTTGTTAGCATTTTAGTTTAAAGATAGAACTTTACTCCTATGCGTGGCTAAAAGCGGTGCGCAAAGCACGGCCTTGATTCAAGATTTATTTGAATAAATTTTATTAGTAAAAACGTTGGTTTGCCATCAATTGCGTATCTTATTTCCAAGTCCATCGTAAAACCCTAATACTAACTTCCACATACATGGTGATCAAAGTCCTTCAGGCAAGTCTCCTCCTTTAGACGTTCCTCACGGAGCAGCTCAAGTATAGTGATGCCTCGGTGCTTATTTTCCATTTTATTTTCTTGCTGATTCGACTCCTGAAGTTGTTTATTAAAAATTCGGGTGTTTAAACTATTTTCTTCTATCATTGCATTATCTGGGTTGTCAATTTCGCTAGCACACCTGATTGATTCCACCGCTCTTTTTGCTTCTACAAAATGCTTGCCCAGACAATGAGATATCCCATCAGCAGTTATCGCGATTCCTCGCTCTATCGCCCCAAGTTCACCAGCTTTATCCGGTCTACTACTTCGAGAGTGAGGATTGGTGTGGTTTTCCAGTCCAGAATACTGACTATGTGCCGTGATAGATGGCTGTTGAAGAGATGGTTTAGTTTCACAGGATAGATTAAGCGAGGGCAAGGAAGATGATGACGAAGATGCTGAGGTCGTTGTGACGTTTGGGGAGTCGGAGGTTCCAATTATCCATGGGTTAGCATAGGCAGGAGCTGAGGGAAATATTGACAGAGGTGAAGACGATCCAGATGAAGGTTCTATTAGAGACTGAGTCGGATTCTTAGTAGCAGGAAAATAACTGGAATCAACAGCCTCATTTTCCAATGATTGGTGATTACCGAGAAATGAGGCAGATGGTTGTGTGTTCTGGCTAGCGTTCAATCCACGGAATGATGTTGTAGTAGTGAAAGAAGATACCGAGGATGATGATGATGGAGAAGAGGAAGATAAAGAGATGGCTTTGTGACTTAACGAATCGACTTGCAATACAGAGCAGTCAACTTCGGAGCTGGGAATGACTATGCAAGGGACCACATCGGCCCGTTTTGATTCGGCTTTAGACATAGACGTTTGGGCCAAAAATGGAAATTTATCGTCTACTAAATTCGAATAAAGAGAAACGGCATTAGTGGTGTTTAAAGTGTTCACGATAGCTTGGCACGAGGAAGGAGAGGACGGAAGGCAAGAATTTTTGACTCCTAGAGGTTGTTTTATCTGATAAGCCTGGCTACATGGACGGGATAAAATCGGCTTTTCGGGCCTCGTAGGCCGCCGAGTGCGCTTCACCTGTCTGGCTGAGGGATTGAATTTACTGGACAGCAGATCAGGTAGGGTTGGGATCGGTGAAACTGGCTGATCTGGCATTTTGGCTCTAATCAAAGGCTTTGACACAGTGTCCTCTGCAGGTAGCAAGTCTGCCGCTTTGGCTGGATCCCTATCTATATTGTGACGCGGACAGACTGAAGTGAACCGCGGAGTCCGGCTATCGGTAAGACGAGGTCTGGAAACAGCCGAGCATAGTCTCAAATTTGAGGTACTGATCGTCATACTTTTAATACAAGACCCATGTAAACTACCAGCGTCACTTTCAGGACCGCTGTATAATGAGTTGTGCATAGAGGCTAAGACTGCTAATTGCAGATCAGAACAGGATCCTAAGCATGTCAAGCTAGGTAGTGAGGGGAGAATAAAATATAAGAATTTATGCGTTATATTAGTATAGATAAGGCTTCGATACTAAGAGTAGAAAAGTAATTATAACTGTATTTACCCTAGGTCGAATTTCTACTTGTTTCAGTGTGATTTTACGGCGTTTTTTAACAACGTACAGTAAAAAAATATACATGTATAAAGCATCATATATTTGTCAGTGGAACGACAATTTATGTTCTTAAATTTTAGAAGATATTCAGGCCCCAAACACCAGAATAGGTAAAACCCCCATTGAGATTCTAAACGAATTATTATAGGCACCTGCTAATATTATCTATGCTTATTTAATTTGATATCATTGTTATACGGGTAAGCTAATAGGTGCCTTTTTCAAGAGCTGTCAGTCCTTACTATCAGACTTTAAATGGCTCGTAACACAGGTTTAACTAAAACAGAGGCCCCCTGGATGATGAATAAGATGTGTGGTTTAGTTAGACTGACAGTATAATAGATATGCCATACTGAAGAATTGATGGTGAAGCTAATATTGTATGTCATTTTTTGTGAACTCTCACCAGGAGTCGATTGGTGCTTCAAGAACTTTCAGTTTAAATGCTGGGGAGAAATAGAAGAAACTAATTAATCATGCATTTAAATTTACTCATAGCACGCATTCATAAATTCCCTTTGCATTAGAGGTATATTATAAACCTCATTTGGGTCATAACTTAAAATTATTGGGGCTAGCTAAGTGGGATCTAAAGTATAATCAAGCCTAGATATTGTTTATAATACAATAGGGAGCAAATTCAAATTTTTCCTCCAATTCGCTTTTATAAAATCATAACCAAAAGATTATTAGTAGGCTAAGATAAGTTTCGGCTACTTTTTAAAATGAAGATGGCCTTCGTATTTTGCGCTTGGCTTTAGAACATTAATAGTAAGGTATCGTTTTAATAATAAATCAGAATGAATCAGCGGATGCAATTAAATATACATATTGCAGCTAATAAGTCTCGTTCTGGCAATACGTCACTCTTTCTTGCCTTAGAATTGCAATATGGCAATATGGTGCAGCAAAAGCGTTTCTGGTTGCCGCCCTTTATAATATGGCATTCAAAGAAAGTAACCAAAGCCTAGAACACTTGAGTAAAACCAAGTGTTTTGAAAGTGCTTTAGTTGAGTGCATATTGCGTAAATGATTTAATAATAACGCCTTGTCCAAACTTGATTAACGTTATTTAAACCGAAAATATTTCCGAATTCGACTTAAAATAATCTCTGTCTACAATATTTTAGAAAAATACATGCCTAATAAATATAAAAAAGATCATATTCGGCACAATCAATAGTATTGCTATGAAAGGAGTGATAAGTGGCAGAAAGTGATACCCTACATGTATGCAGAAACCACTCATATTTAAACGAATAGGCTTTATGGAAAGCAAAGCAATAAGTTGTTCAAGTTCTGAAGTGCTCTTTATTCTTACCAAGTTAATATTTCAAAATAGCACGATCTCATATAATCATAACTATGAATAGCGAGAGCAGCTGGCTTTCTAGGAATATCTTGGCACAACAGTATGGAATTGACTTTCATTTAGAGTAAGTGCGTATTAAATATATTCGTGGGTCCATCTCAGCAAAAGACGAGATCGTATTCCCCTTGATCTGCTGTCTGTCATTTAAAAGAATGTTTGTATCGGAGACGAGGGAGGGTTTCTCGAGGTCTGCCTCAGTCTAAACATCCCTCACTACTTCTAAAGCGATTGAACTTCATCTCGCCCTTTCAATAGGCAGCCATAAAAACTGTTTTTTATGGAACTTCATGTGGTTTCATTTGAAAATTTATCCACCAGAAGAATGCAAAATGGGAGATTAATTTTTCTTCTGCATGCGTTGCAGATGAAAGTGAGACGCTACTTATAAGTAACGAGTGTTATTTTAAAGATTTACGAATACATTATTTTATTATTTTAGTAGTGACAATAAACCCAGCTTAAATGTTGCTGCCTAATAATATCATCCATTATATTAGAGAACTTATATTTGCTATAAGTGTTCCACAATTGCACACAAATTAAAATCATCAATCTATAAAATATAGGTATGAGAAGGACCTACTCAGTATCGTAGGCTGAACACAAAGACCCTTTGGAAGTTCTAAAACGAAGGGATTGTGGAATTTCAACAAGGGGTAGTAATCAGATTATTAAATAATTAAAAAAAATTACCAAATACCATAAAATCCATAAATGAGATTCGTAAGATTTGTTATGCATGGTAAAAAATATAAAGAATAAAATGAAATATCATGTAGTTAACGAATATGTTGGATGACCTTACAAATATTGGATGTGAAACGAAAATCAGAGATTATTAATTCGTCTTCACAACTACAGGGAGACCTTGCGCCCTCTGCCAAGGTACTCATGGTGATTTCCATTATGGGACCGTTGACTTGGTACATTCTAAGACGTTTCATTGGCATCCTAAGTGAAAGGCACACTCGTTAGCACAGTTACAATTTATCAAAGTTATAAAGTGATAAATATGATAAGTTGTATCTCCGTGCTAATGGTGCCTCTTCCTGATAATGCCGATTGCTATGCCGGCGAAATACTTTGGCAAAGGAGGCAAGACTAGGTACGTTACACAAGGTCTCAAAAGTAAATAGTAAATTTTAAATTCCTGAAAACTCACTTATCTCCCTGGATATTTTGAGTTGTCAAGTCAAACGAAGAAGTTAAGAGACTTAGACAAGCGAAAATTCAGTTAAACATTTAATAGATCCACTCAGTTCTCATGACGGCAAATTTTGATTGAGCTTTTCTTTCGGGTAGGCTATTGTGCAAGACACCTTATTTTGAAGAATCAGAAAGTGAAGTTGTATTAGATCAGCTACATTAAGTCATCCAGTCTTATTGATTGTCAAGGTTTTTATTATTTTAGTCAAAGCCTTAATCCTTATTATTTTTTTGGATTAAGGAATGTCTTCCTGTTTATAAAAGAAAAGCTTAAAAAATTTTTCATAGAAAGACTGAAATACTGAAAGTATTATTATAATATTTTTTGAATGCCAGGATACAGCTACTTTCGAAGAAGTGATTTTTCCTCCGAGCCCGCTCAGACAGTAAACGAAATGCTTGCTGACTCCTCCCTCTTCCAATTTCCTGTTCATTAAGTTTCTTTGAAATAGGATAACCTCGGCTTTCCTCATCTTACATTATCTTGTGATCTCCTTATATGAGTCCAGGCTTTCCATTGCATTTCACTCAATCGTATGGCTGGTCAAGGCAATGGGTTCGGCTATGTCCGATCATTCAGTATCCATTGTTCTGAAGAGTCGTTAGGGTTTTTAATCCTTGTGCTGATTTTCTTTCCTATCTTTGCATTGTATTTTCATTTAATCATCGTAGTTTATGCAGTACACCCCAGAGCACTCAATTTTATTTATTTTTTCATGTTGCGTTGTCAAGCTGATGAAGAGTCTAATCCTTTGCTTCAGTGTCCACGGTCCGACTCTGGAAATGATCATGTATATTATGGACTCCGGGCAAGGTGCGTTCCTCTAGGTCTACCTACCAATCTGACCAAGTTGTGAAACTTCTATACAACGAAAGGAGACCGCGACTATACTAAATACCACACCATCTTGGTCTTCATCTCTCCGATCAGACGATATATTTGTTCATAGATGAGGCTTTTAGATAATTCGTATCGTTAGGTTTAACAATCTGGTTAAAGACTCTTTTCGGATTAGCACCATATCTATAACGTCTTCCCTTACTAAGATCTGTAAGCGCTTTCTTTCG